TTTTTTTGAGACAGAGTATCACTTTGTCATGCAGGCTGGAGTGCAATGGCGTGATCTCAGCTCACTGCAACCACTGCCTTCCGGGTTCAAGCCATTCTCCTGCCTCAGGCTCCCATGTAGCTGGGATTACAGACGTGTGCCACCACACCTGGGTAGCTTTGTATTTTTAGTAGAGATAGGGTTTCGCCATGTTGGCCAGGCTGGTCTCAAACTCCTGACCACAGGTGATCTGCCCACCTTAACCTCCCAAAGTGCTAGGATTACAGGGATGAACTACCACGCCTGGCCTCCTATCCAGGAAACATTTTATCAAACATCTTCAATTCAAGTATAGTATTTAAAAGCATGAAATCAAGAGACTAAAAAAAGGGTTATCCATTCAGCATTTAGACAAAGTTATAACTCCATTTTCTCTGGGTGAAAGAAAATCCCTGATAACAGAGGCCTATGCCTTTTCCTACTTTTTTTTTTTCTGTAATACAGATTCCCATGTCGCTCTTCTGACCTCCAGCCTTCCCTTCACAAGTTCTCCTCCCTAAAACCCTCTTACTTAGCAAGTCCTATTAGAACTCCCTAAAAAGCAAAAAAAAAAAAAAAAAACCTGAATACTTTCTATGTTATTAGTCATGTTTCCTAAACATAGTTAATGTTTATTTTCACCTAAAGTAGCAATGAGTCTCTTGGTACTCAATGGACATTGCTGAAAGGTGGGGTGCATGTATTACAGAATAGGCATGTTTGCTGCAAAACCCTTATCTTAATAAAAGGAAAGCCTCAAAGACGAAAATGCAATGGGTAAAAGGAATACAATTAAGCTGATTAACTTATGCAGTTTCTTATGCTTGTTAAAGTACTTAACTGAACCTCTGAAAGCTGGCTAGATTATGATACTTACAGCTTAATGAGGTGATAACAAGGGAGTAGGAAGGCTCTCTTGTTCTCCACAGTATCCCGGGACTTCATCTAGTACTGAGGCTGCACACCATTGCTTTAACAAAGATCTGGATATTTCCTTTAAGTATATACACATTATGAGGGGATTTTTAAAAGCTTAAAGAAACCTTAAGAGACTGTGCAGCCTAAGAATTTTTGGTTTTTAACTGTGAAATAATTTATTTAAAAGAAATCTTATGCAGAAACTCAAAATTTAAACCAGATAAAAGTATATCTAAGAGAAGACTATGAGCCTCGCTTACTTGGGAAGAAGGTATTTCCTGTAGGAAGCCCCCCGAAAGCAGCTCCACAAAGCCCCAACAGAGCAGTTATAAACCCATGGGCTTAGTCTGACTTTTTCTCGTATTACAGATGAGGAAATGGAGAAAACCAAGGCCTCCAAAGGTTAAGCTTCTTATCCTAAGTAAAGGAGTTATTAGTAATGTTTATCAGTAAGTGCATCGAGTTAGTAGTTAACACTAGTAATGGTGGGTGACTTACAAAGGATTAAACCCCTGGAAAATCTATGTCAACCAGAGTTCTTAATCAGCAGGTATTTCCCTACACCGCCCTATTGGTGGTCTACTTCATATCTGTATTCAAAGGTATCAACTACCTTTTCCAAATTTATGGCAGATAAATTACTTCAGATCTCTGTACTACACTTAATTAATGGAAGCCACACCTTTCTGCACATTACCATTTCAATTATTATAAATTAACTAATAGCTCCTCTGATTCTGTTCTTTACTCTAACCCCTTGTATATAACTGGGTTGATTAGAATTCAACTGTCCTGGTTTGAGACATTTCTGACCAAGGGAGCTTAGGAAAATAGTGGTGAGGAGTTAAGCATTAAATACACAACACCATGTTCTTCCATTTGTCTGTATATCCAAAGAGCCCACTCCATTGAATGAACCTTCTTTCTCACCTGGGAATTTGGCTGGAATGCAGCATGGGGTGTTGAGTGTTTCTGTAAATTTTCTAGCATTAGAGCCTGGTATAGAGAAGGGTAAAAGTCAGAAATGAGGAGGAAAAATAAGAAAAACAAACCCCCACCCCTATCACAATCTCTTAATTAAATGCAATGGCTTAAATTCACACAAACTGTATTCCTTTTCCAGGGACCTGAAATCCCTTTACTATCACTGCTCCCATTCATCTCCAGAAGACCCTTAAAGGTAGCCATGGTTACTGCGACTAAACAAGCAGATATAAAACGCAGGCACACAGAATCAGGGACCTGGCTATGTCATAAAATCAGTAACAGAACCAGTATTACAATCCCTATTATCGTCTGCACTTTTGCCAAGTGCCCCTTCTAAATCTGACCATGCAGGTAAAATTACCTGAAATAGTCAAACCAGTTTTAAATATACAGAACCAACCAGCAGCCATGGGGCTCCTGGTTTTTGCCTGACGATATTATTTAGTCAAAGAGTTATCCAGGACTAGAGTCAACTCGTATAATTTCCAGCACAGTGGCACCTAGATTTATCAAATTTATAAAATTTCCAAAGAGGAGGCTACAGAAAAAAATGACCACAGACCCTGTAAACTGTGATCTAACCTAATCTATACATAAATATACACACACCCCCATCCCTACCAGCTTCTAGTATAAGCAACCGTCTGCCAACCCAATCCTTGAGCCAACCCAGCCCTCATCTGCACTACCTGCCACGTATCCTACTGAACTCTAATTAAAACCAAAACATCCTCATCTTACCTTCTTTGAAACCAAATCTAAACAAACGATCGATCTACACCTACCTCATGACAATCCCACCTTAATCTCAAACCGATTCAAAATCCCCAATACACATATCAACCCGCCTCACCTCTCTCACCAATATTCACCAAACTCTTAACCACCCAAATTGCCACTGGATGCCCTATAAATTAGACACCTCTCATCAAGTCCCTTCAAATAAAGGTCTCTCTTCATCTCACCTCCTCAACTAATCGAGCAGACATTTTAACCTACCCCAATCGTATTCCTGCGGATACCGATACCAACCCCATCCACCCCTCCGCGCAACTATGCCCCTAACTCCGACCCAGCCCAACTCGCCCCCCCTCAGGCCAGCAACGCCGGAGGTTGTAGTGGGATTTAACTCCTTCTGCAGCGCATGCGCCGAAACCACAGACACAAACAAGGAGGGGGTGGGGGAAGAAGGAAGGAGCTTAAGACACTCCTGGAGAGTAGTGCACACCCTCCCATTTTGGGTTCGCGCTGCTGCCGTTAAGGCGGGAACCGGCGCGATCTCCATTCCAGCGCAAACCTCACCAACCACCGTGCGCGCGGATCCAGAGGCTCGCGCTGGCGGCCTGAGCGAGCTCGCGCCGAGCCCGGATACTGCGCCTGCGCCGCGGCAGAGACTCGTCTCTACCGGGTCCGCTCTCCTCCGACACTCCAGCAACGCCAACTCCTTACCCCTTTGAGCCGCTTGACCAGGGCACTCTTCTGCCCGCTCTTGGCTAGGCCTCGCTGCTCCAGTGCGGCCTTCAGGTCGGTCACCCGCAGCGCCTGAAGAGGCTTCCCGTCCAGAGTCACCTCCTCCAGCTCCGCCATCTTGCGTGAGGTACTCGGGTCCGTCCCGACGGCTTCGGGCATCTTCGGTAATTTCCGCCAACGCCCTTCGAACGTACCGAGGTGACCCCGCCCACTGCCGTACTCCAGCCCTCGATTACCGCTCAGAACTCCCCGGATTCCTCCGCATGTGCTCGGATATTTCCGTCTCCACATCGGCACCAATCAATTCTTTCCATCCGCCCTGCAGCTCCCTTTTTCTCGCCCTGCTTTTAGGCTCGGTTTTCTTCGTCTTGCCGAAGGTTTGAATCGAGTATATTCGGAAGCCCTCGACTCGGGCATAACCATAATCGGAGATATTCGTCTATCTCCGGACCTAGAGATGAGGCGCTGGGGCACTTGGGTGTTTGGGGCGGGTCCGAGGCCGGAAATGCGTGGGCTGCCGGGCTGGCCCAGCTTAGGGTTTTCAGGAAATTTGGAAGTTGTGGCGGTAGTTGGATTGTAAGGACTCTTGTGACAATCTTTGGGTGCCCTCCGAGAGAAAAGCGGAGGTAAGCGGGGTAGAAGTATCTCTGTGGGGCGGATCAGACTTGGTGTTTGCGGATTACCCTCACAGGGCAAGCCTCCTACTCCTTTACGCAAACAGCTTCTGCCCTCTGTCCTGTGAATCCCTGCCACTCCCATCTTAGGCTTTTTTGGGGGTGGGAGGACAGGAATCGGAATTACCAGCTCCGTGGCCTGCAAAGTGGGCAAGAAGCAGCGCCGTTTCTTCGGACCCAGACTGTGAACTGATTTATGACGCTGAACTTCAGTTTGAGTTTGCCTTGGAAGCCATGTTGCAAGAGCCTGGAGAAGTTCTCCCATTCTCTGAAGAGGGGAATAAGTTCCTTTGGAGGAACTGCTTCCTGTAGGGCAAGAACTGGAAAATGCAAGCACCCTGAACTTTTTTGGTACTTGAACTAATTTTAATTGTTAATTTTTTTGTCTTTTTTTTTTTTTTGGTCACTCTACTCTGACCCAGGCTGGAGTGCATGGCGTGGTCACGGCTCGCTGCAGCCTCAACTTCCTTGGTTCAGGTGATCCTCCCACCTCAGCCTCCGGAGCAGCTAGAACTACAGGTGCTAGCTGTAAAATTAGGACTACGCCTAATTTTATTATTTTTTGTAGAGGTGAGGTTTTGCGTGTTGCAGAGGCTGGTCTCGAACTCTTGGGGCAAGCGATCCTCTCACCTCGGCCTCCCAAAGTGCTGGGATTACTTTGGGAGTACATGAGCCACCTCATCTGGCCCATACTAAATATTAAAGGCAATTGCTCAAATACCTGGATTGTCATAAAATAGTGTAACACTTGTTAGATCTCTAAGCCAACAAACCAACTGGACTGTTACTTTAAGTCTTGAATAAACACCGGGCTTCTGGTTCTTTTACTGCATTACCTAACTTTGAGCAAGGCCCTTATTCTGTTCTTTAATTTTTCCTGGTGCTTTACAGGAAATGTGAGGAGGTAACGGATGTTATGAAGTTCTTGGCATATTTCAGAGGCTTATATGCATGTTGAAGCCTTTTTTATAATAAATAATGTTTTTTCGTTTTCCTTCCACTGTTGATAGCTACAAAACAATTAGCTTCAGCCTTGACCAGCTGCAGGTATTAGATTTAAGAATGTGTGCTTTTTCATTTTGGAGAAGATGTGATGGACAAACATTAATCATTGTTTTTTTTCTTTACCCAACCTGGCATATAGGAGTAAGAGGGAGAGAATGAACGCAGAATATAATTGGTTAATTTTAGGTTCTTTATAGGAAAGATGGAGGGAGACAGTAGTTAGGGAAGAATGGGTTTGGAAAAGAAAAAAGCAGGCAAATATGAAATGAAATTATTTTTGGTGATTTCTCTAAGGTAGTTGCATAGTAATCGAAATAAAAGACTCTTTGTTTTGGGTCCTTGAATTGGTAAATAGTAATTTCTCTGTAGATGCTAATTGAGCGTGGTAAGATTTCTTGTTGCTTGAAAGTTGTATTTTCATTGCTCTATCTGGAGCGTATATAACAGTGCTTTTATGTTTCAGGATGCCACTGGAGTCATCTTCCTCTTCAATGCCACTATCCTGCCGGTCTCTCTTACCCTCAATACCACACAACACTAACCCTTCCCCTCCTCCAATGTCTTACATCACCTCCCAAGAGATGAAGTGTGTTCTTCACTGGTTTGCCAATTGGTCAGGTCCCCAGCGTGAACGTTTCCTAGAGGACCTAGTAGCTAAGGCAGTGCCAGGAAAATTACAGCCACTGCTGAATAGTCTGGAGCAGCTTAGTGTGTCTGGGGCAAACCGACCACCTTCTATCTTTGAGTGCCAGCTATATCTTTGGGATCAGTGGTTTCGAGGCTGGGCTGAGCAGGAGCGCAATGAATTTGTCAGACAGCTGGAGTTCAGTGAGCCAGACTTTGTGGCAAAATTTTACCAAGCAGTGGCTGCTACAGCTGGTAAGGACTGATAGGCATTCAGACCAAAGAAGATAACCATAGCTGAGCCAAGACTCTATGTATATGTTACAAGGCCATGACTCTGCAATGAGAACTCAATTCAAATGTGTCACCTAAAGGACTGGAACTGGTATTCCGACCAACTGACTGAACTCATTGACCAGTACAGGCATAGTTATTTCAACACTAATAGCATGTCAATGGGACTCCTACTTGTAAATGTTATCAATCTAAGCAATCCAGCTCATCGGTCTACTAGTTTGCTTCTTTTCAAGAGATGTCAAATCTTCAAGAATTTGATGGCTTCTTCTGCAACTATAACCAAAAGGAACCTACACATTATAACTCAAGCCCACTGCTTGCTTATGAAGTGTGTAAAATAGAACCCTCCTTCCCCAGAAATAAGACAGGACAATAAAAGGTGGTACTTTTATACTTTAACTGGATTCCATTGTCTGGTTTTACTGCTCTTACCAGATTCAAGTGTAATTCTGTGATATCCAAAGCATTAGCTTTCCCAGTGATGATTTAATAAAATTATGAAAAATCAGGAGAGGGAGATAATTAGTTACTTCCTCCTCCACACTGTTTGAATCCAAATAGCAGTAACTTTTTTTTTGGGAGCTGGGTTGTCACTCAAGTTTGGAGTGCAGTGGCGTGATCATCAGTGAGTGTGAGATCACTGTAACCTCAAACTAGGGTCAAGTAATCTTCCTGCCACAGTCTCCTGAGTAGCTAGGACTGTAGGCACGCACCACCATACCTGGCTAATTTTTAAATTATTTTGTAGAGATGAGGGTCTTGCTATGTTGCCTAGTCTGGTCTTGAATTGCTGGCCTCAAGCAATCCATTCTCACCTTGGCCTCCCAAAGTGCTGGGGTTACAGGCGTGAACCATCATACCTGACTTTTTCTAAAGCATGTGTATGTGATACTCTTGGAACTAGTAGCAGGCCTATTCTGTAAGTTTGCTTTACTACAATATGAAAATAAGTGACACTACAGGTTGAACAGTTTATTTTTGTACCAAAATAAAGAATGGATCTTTAGAATCGTAAAAAAATGGATCTTTAGAACTGTATAAAATTGATATCAGGGAAAGAGGCATTCCAAAGAAAGTAGAACTTAAGTATACACAATAGGTTTTCCATTCAGTTGCCTTCCAAGAAATGATTCTCTTCCTTACCCCCATCATGTTCTGGGCAACATCACACCTCCCTTACTCCTCTAACTGGGACCCTTGTGCCGTGGAACTCTGGTGAATGGTAAGAGGCAGATGGCCTCACAGGAAGAGTGGATGTTTTCTGGTAGGCTATGGTTCCCAGTGCACCCACCAGGATTAGCAGCATTAGGCAGAGTCCCATGGACAGCCTTAGGTGGGTCATGGGGAGGTTATGGTCTGAAGTAACCAGCAACCTAGGAACATAAAGGTAATATGTGGCCTGGAATAAT